ACTTCCAGAAAAGCTTCGAGGGGTGGATCAAACGCTGGCACAAGTGCATCGCAGCCGACGGAGACTACTTTGAAGGGGACAACTTGAATTTTGAAGAATAAACATGTATTTTTCTTTTTATGAATAAATTCCGGTTATTTTTTTATCATGGTAGTATGTCTGTCTCGTAATGTTTTCGCCAGCGTTTCGCCTTCGCTAGCAATATAGGAGTATTACATATATGCAAAACTCGCACTTATCTGGGTTTACTGTAAGTCCGGAAACAGAAATTTGTCCTAAAAAGACTTTCTCTAACTATTCATGTTCTTCAAAAGAAATTTGTCCTAAAAAGACTTTCTCTAACTATTCATGTTCTTCAAAAGTAGCCGTTACCACAATGATGTCATCTAAATACGCAAATGCGTGAGGTTTCATCTCAAGGTTATTTAATTAATCAATTAATTTGTTCAATAAACGTTAGAACGTGGCAGGTGCCCCAGTAAGTCCGTACGGCATACGAGTGAAATGATATAACCCTTTCTCCGGAACACTAAATGCTGTAATCTCACGACTCTCCGTTGCCAAAGGAATCTGGAAATATGCTTGGCTCAGGTCAATTGTTGAAATATAATGCGCGGCTCTCAATTTGTCCAGTATGCCATTCATATTTGGCAACGGATATGCATCTTTTTTAGAAACACTATTGACTTTGCGGAAATCAAGACAAAAACGATATTTACCATTTGGCTTTTTCGCCATTACGATCGGATTCGATCACTCACTAAACGATGATTCGATAATTCCAGCTTGTAACATTTTATCTACCTCCTCTCGAATCGCCTCTTGTACTTTAGGCGACAAGATAACACCTTTGTTTGATAGGCAAATGTTTATTTACGTCTATCTGATGTTCGGTAAGATTTGTTACACCCGGATTATCTATTGTGGTCGGCAGCTTCTTCTTTAAAAATTCATTTAACCGAATCTCTTCCGACGATGTTAATTCCGATATTCCGCTACACACTTGATCTGACACGTCAATAGACGTCAGATTCAAACAAATAATTTTCTTTACTATCGCGCGCGAATGATCATGACGCTGAGCCAATGTTCCAGATTACTTCAAATTTACACCAAAAATCGACTCCTAATATGCACAATACAGCTAAATCTGGCAACAAACAGACGGAAATAGTTCGTTCTCTGTTCTTTAATCTAATCGACACATCTTTTCTTTTATATTAACGAGTTGTCCGTTCGTAGTTCTAATTCGACATCTCCGAGAGTTTGTTTTATCGACAAACCTAAATTTCGTACGATCAAAATACTTCTCTATCAAAAAATAATCCTACTAGATCCTGAATCAACTAAAGCCGGTAACGTATAACCCTTCACCTGAAAAAAACCCAAAGATGATAACGCATTACAATAGAACGTAAACATACGAACTATCTACATCAAATCCACGAAACACATTAGAATTATTCAATCTCCTATTATCAACGCTATTTTTGACAGCAAAATTTTTCCTAGCCTCACAAGCGCGTGCGAAAGAGTTGCAGGAACTCGTTTCTACGTACTTTTTTTCCGTTCCCCGCACTTCGGACAAGTCCTTATTGTAACTTCGGCTTTACCGCAGCGGTAGCAATGCAACTTTTTAGCTTCTGTGCAATTGCGCGACGCGTGTCCCATCTTTCCGCAATTCCAGCATTTTAAATTGGGACAATCAGCTGTTTCTGTTTTCCTCGTCTCGTCAATCTTTCTCGTAGAAGAGATAGTAGCAGAACTGGTCTTGTTTTTACCTTCTTTCTTTTTATTTTTCTCAATGCCGGCCGCGGCTAAGGACTCGCTGTTTCGATTTTTACGCGGCGGTCGATAAGCTAATTCCGGTATTAATGACTGTTCCGGAAGCGGAGGAGGCCGATAGCTCTCCGCTCCGACAGCCAGCAGCTTCAGGTACTCCCAATTATAAAAATCATCCCTATGTATCAAGATCTTTAATCGCGGCAGCATATTGTGGTATGCGTAAATAAGTTGTTCCGCTAGCGGCCATTGTGGGTTTAACCGCTCGAATAATGCCTCCATACAATTTAGATAGTAGGCAACTGGCTCGTGTTTGCCCTGCGTGCGACGTCGGATCTTATCTCGTAACGTGAATGCAAAATCTGGGTCGAATCGCGATCTCCACGCGGCAACAAATTCTTCCCACGATCGCCAACTATATTTCTTTGCGCGAAACCAGTACAGAGCAATACCCGTTAAACAGAACGGCAGACAACGAAAGATATCTTCGTCCGACACAGGGATGATCGAACGAGTCGTCTCAATTTTTATGAGAAATTCTTCGGGATCGCTATCGCGCGCTCCGGAAAATTTCAAGTTACATTTTCTCATTATTTCGTATGCTCTGAAGGCGTTTGTAGAGCCATGACGCGAAGTCGAAATCGTATCGTCGTACGGTAAATCTAATTGCGGCGAAGTTGACGGGAATTGCACGCTTTCCAACGGCGGCTCAACAAACGCTGACCAATTATCACGCGCGCGATAACTCGTGCGATCGACTTGTGTCACCGACGGTTCCTGTCGCGTGGAAGAAGATTCCGCGCGAGCGATTGGAGAATCGGCTCGTACAACAACGAGTTCAGCCCGCACGAGTAGACTCGACGAACTGTTCGGGCGCACCGATGCGTCCTCAATCGGTACCGCCAAATGCGATCGCGACGGACCGGCCTGTGACTCCGGTGTAGGTGGAGATTCTTCTCCGCGCGCGCGATATTGTCCGTATCGAAGCAACCGCGCTCGCAAAGTCGGTACTGTCCCGGTCTGGTCTAACTCTCGCTTCTCTAATTCTTCGAGCAATCGCTCCCGTGTCAATGCGTAAATCCAATTTTGTTGCTCTGTAGCCATTGCCGGCTGATCAAACGTATTTCGGAAAAGAAACGGAAAAGAAATTTTATTTCGCTATGTACTGTGGCCGTACAGAATATCTGTCACGTAAGCTCGCTCAACGAACGCAAAATTCAAAACGATAAACACGCTAGGCACGAAAAACAGCAGTAAGCGAAGACTAAGATAAATCGGAGATAAACACGACGAAGAATAGGCACCAGCTAACTGCTTCGATCTAAGCTATACAAACACAATTGATTCTCGAAAACATAAACTCGCTTAAAGCCAGACAACACAATCTAACCAAAACTTATTTGAAATAAGCGAGAATATTCTATTCGAGCAACAAAATTTTCCAATAACACTTGCGAATTTCACTCGCGATATAATTTTCCGACACTCAAAATATCAGAGCACGCACACTTTTATAAAAAATAAATTTTTAGTTGAAAGAAAATTGTGACTAGCACAAAAATAAACATTAAAGTGTCATCATTATATCACACATGCACAAATAAATTCAATCAATATCATATGTAACAATTTCAATAAATCAGATAAACCGCAAAATACAATTTATATTTTCTTTGACTAAGCTTCTCTCTATAAATGACTTTTTATAATTTTTTTCAAATTGCCTCTTTATTAATTTTTCATACAGGTTTTTCATAATTATTTTTCAACGTGGCTCCAATTTGTGATGCGCACTTCGCTTTAAATTTTATTGCGAAGATACGGCACACCTTCGGCTCGTCTTTTGCAAGATTTTAATTAGACTCTACTCACGAAGATTAAGTAATTGGTCGCCAAGCGCGAATTATCACGCCGTTCTCAAAATTTATATTCTGAGACTCGACTTTATTTCATTCTGGACGTGACGGCATGTATTTTCGGCAGCTCGGTTCTTAAGTATTAAATACGGAAAGGCGCGTGAACTCAGGAGGCCGTATTGTTTAAAAGCAGAGAAACTTAATCAGTAAATAATGCACACAATTAGATGAAAAATAAAATAAGACTTTTAACAGTTTATTGCGTTCAACAACAAATAGATTGTTGCAACTTATGCGACGTATGACGGTCGAGGGTTATAAACGACTCACGAGTTTAACGTAATTCATTTTAATTCTCCGCGAACTATTTGACAAAACGACAGTTGTCGGTAGTTTTTCTGTTACGCTTAATTCCCGCGGCCGTCAGCTACGATTTTTCGACAATATAAACGCTAATAAATCTTGCTCATATCACTACCGCGAACGCGGTAGACATAAGAATTCGACACGATACAAACATAAAAAAAAAAAACAAACAAAAAAACATGTAACGCTTCAATATAACGAGTAATGATAGAGATCTGGATTGTTGCGACCGCGACGGAAAGGCGAGAGCAGTGGCAATGAAATATCTACAATAATTACAATAAACAACCCCGAAACGCAACACAATAGATTTTCGGGAACATATTGCGCAACATCAAACTCGCAAGGTGGCCCGTCAAGACTCACGAACAATATAAGTCGTGAAATGTGCGGAAGAGAAGCAACAACACACTTACGTTCGTCGGTGGTCTTCCGGATAATATAGTCAGCTGTTCGGCTCTTTTCCCTTGTCGGGATCTTTTCTTTCTGTGTCCTCCTCGGGATCCGTCGGGACACACTTCACCAAGAACTTGTTCTTCGGTTGGCCACGTCACTAGACGGAACGATGAACTCGCGCGGCCCGCGGTACTTGCAACAATGAACTCGCATCGTTCAGCAATTACTCTCTTTCATTGAGCGCTGTTCTTCGCGCTAGGTAGCTAAGCCAATCAGATTCTTTCTTCCGTGGCGTTGTGATTGACAGCAGCCACGTGTCAATCACGTGCCCGGCAATAATAACGACTCAGGCCCTTTCTTGGCCGTATCAGGCCCGCTTCGCTCCTATTATTCTATGAGATAAACTTGTTGAGACTCATCTCTCAGTATCACCGAGCCTGTCACTCCAGTGGAACCTCCGATTCAGATTTTTGGAGATCGGAGTGCGCGCTTCTTCCCCCTTTCAGTCCGCCGTCGAAATTATTGCCGAGTATCCTGTGCCTTTGACGTCTTACGCTCCTGGATTCCTCGCTATCTCTATCTTCTCTCTTCCTCGCTCCACTCTATCCGCCATCTACGCAAAGTGTGCTGCTTTTTCCGCGCTGAAAATAAATTACAAAATAGCTGCCGAGTGGTCCGCACGGCACACAACAATAACACAAAAATGTCGCAAAATCTTAATGGGAACGAAATGCACAGAAAATAAGAATATTAATGCAACAATTGTTTTAATATTGTCAATAATATTAAATATATTTGTTTCAAGACTGGAAATCGCGATAAAGAATATAAAGTTAAGTTAACAATTGTTTTTTTACATATGTAGACAATCACTGAAGAAGATCTGAATCACAGATCAAAATGTCTGATTCAATATTTTGTAGAATAAAGTAATATATACTAAAAAATACACTGACACCTAGTATAATTGCTCATAACATATTAGTTTACTGTTTTATAATAATTAATAACGGCTTGTCGTATCTTTTATAAACTGTGCAATATATATTTTCATATTAGATTATAACAACAATCGGCAGCAAAACTGAAAACTCCGATATCTTTTTTGACTCTCAATCTATATGTTCTACGCTCTATCTGTTGCGATCTATTTTTGACAGTGCGATTCGTCAAATTAGCTGACAACAACGTGTTATTTGTCTCTCGAATTGAAGTCTCATACATTTTACAATAACTGATACCACGTGTAAAAAAACTATTTGACATGTTGTCTAAATCTGTCAAAAAGAGAAAGGATGTCATTGGCATTTAGATGCATTAATAAATTTAATAATTTCATCAAGGTTTTTGAAAACCTCATAGATCACGATTGCAACAATAACATTGTATATCGCAATGAATGCGCTATATATGTGCAACGCATCGTGTGTGGATCAGACAAAACAAAAAGTTTAAAACTAGGATCACTTTGCACATGTATAGCACATTCAATGGGCGGAGAAGCTATTACACATTCTCTTACGGCCCTGACCGCTCTTAGTTCCTGGTTTGGTTGGTTTGGTGCATATATGGCTCAAAGGACCGTTTCAAGATAGTCCATACGCCATTCTAAGTCTATAGGAATCGTAACACAAGTCCTAAACCGTGGTTTGGGTACAAGCCACGGAGTTGTATGTTCGTTAAAACACTGATAAACTGAAGAAGTCGGTGTAAAAACACCGTTAATTGTCCAAAAATATCTAAGCGTAACTACGCACATTCAACCGGTACGGCTGATGCAACACCACTTGACATCACTCGCTTCTCGCGCGAAACTATGCTCTTAGTTCCTGAATTTTAAATACATATATAATATAAACACATGACTGTCTAGTGGTCTCGCGGCCTGAGTGCGAGCGGGAGGTCTCGAGTTCGAATCCGCAGTGTCTGATTTTTTCGGGCCGATCTCTTTCAAGTCGAGATTATCGACGGAAAAGTGACATGAGAATCGACTTTCCAATCGTGCACGTAGCACGCAATAGAACCATGTCCACGTTTGGACATAGCGTACGCACCGACAAGTCGCTCGTGAACATTGGCTACGTAGTTGCCAATGTGCACCACCCGTGGACATTGCGCCGGTTTACAGAGCGACAAAGCTATTACACATTCTCTTAGGGGCCTGGCCGCTCTCTTCTCTCTGTTGAAACTTATCCTGATTATGCTCATTTATCTCATATCAGACATGCAAATCGTGGTTACTTGGAACGGCGATTTTGATGTGGAAAACATAAAACACTCGATACATCCGGCAAAGCCAAAACAATTTGAAGATAGAGAATCGCAAAAACTTTTAGATTCAAAAATTCATATCAAACGTAAAAAGAGATAGCATATTCATTGGGTGTTAGTTATCAATGTGTTTCCACTCGTTTAAAAGATATAAGAAAATAGATGGAAAATAGGTAGATAAATTGTTGGAATTGACTATTCAATTTCGTTACAACATTTGCTTTTCACTGGTTTCAAGATATAAAAATCAGAAGCAGTTTTTGGCTCAAGTTATGACTGGCGAAAAGAAGATATATCATCGTAAACGAAACATCGACATCACGCGTAGATCCGGAAAAACTTTCAACATTGACATCAAACGTAGAACGCAATATTTGTGAAAACAAAGTTATGGTTTGCATTTGATGCACTTGAAGGTGGTGGTTGTCTACTACAACCTGCTACGAGAATCTGAAATGGGTTTAGCTCGCTAGTCATATCAATTAAAGTTGGAAAACGAGAGTTTGTGTACTAAACATTCAAAAAAACAACATTGGTTCATACAAGTCCAGTTAATACACACATAGAAGATAAAATTGTTTCTTAAGAGGATACTGAATACCGACTATAGAGACCTGTACTCCGACGTTTCTCCTAACTCGACATTATGTATATTTTCTTCATGTTGTAAGTGTGTAGGCAGGGGGTGCTACGCCCCTCTCCCTGCTCCTCTCTCGAGAAAAAATAAAGAATTATTTTATGCAAGGTTATATGTATGTAATATTCAAAAATAAAACATCATAAACAGAAGGTAATATGTAAAACGCAAAACATGATAAGCTCAGGGGGGTGCAAGGGGGCGCAGCCCCCCCTGCCTACACGCTTGCAACGTGAAGAAAATGTCCATAATGTCGAAAAAAAAATTTATTTATGAAACTTTTTTTGTTTGTAACTTTTTTATAAACAATAAGCGACGGCTAAAACCTTTTGCATGTCACTCAGGACAATGTTCTTGACAACATATGTGAAGCTCAAGTAGATCAGAGGTTGACCTGTTATTATCAATATTAATAACTTTTTAATAAACAACGAGCGACGGCTAAAATTTTTGCATGTTACTCAGGACAATGTCCTTGATAACATATGTGAAGCTCAAGTTGATCGGAAGGTGGTCCGTTATTGTCAATATTTACCTTATATATAATTATATATAATAAAGTAATATATAATTATATATAATTAATAAGTGATATATATAATTAGCTGGCAAAGAAATAAAAAAATTTGGAATAAAAAAAAAAATTGAGCAGCCGAGTCGAGAGACGCGCAACGCCTCAGATCATTTGCAGAGTTAACCAACCCTGTGACATGATTTACCGGGGTCTAACGTACGGCGGGGCGCGTCGCATACATAATGTATGTGTGTCTTCCCTTCGGTGGACATAATTGTATGCGATATTACCCGAGGGAGCAGCGCGACTCTCTTCACGCGGCGGCGGCCGCGGTAACAAGGCATACCATCATCATTCGGCCAGAATCGACCCTCGTAAAGAGGAAGCCACCCCCGTCGGAGGCGCCACGCGGTACCGCGAGAGTCCGCGAGATCGAGCTCTCGGTTCTCGCGGTCGGCGTCTTCTCTTCCACCCATCGGTCGGCGTGGCTGTCGTGCTCACCGGCAAACATGAAGGCGAAATATCGCCTTTTGATGCCCAATTACAGAGGCGCCGCTTCTTTATACGTTCCTTTCTCACAGCCAAGACGTCGCCAGTTCCGACGGTTTTACCACAGGAAAAGCTTAAATCGACGTCCCACGGGAACGGCGCGATTTTATCTAGAATGGAACGTTGAGATTGTGTTTGACGAGAAAAAATAATCCAACTAGAAACATATCCTCTCTTTTTCTTTCTTTTTTTCTACATATATTTATAAAAATTCACTCATAAGAAAATTAAAGAATACTAATGTAGGATATAAGGTGAGAGGATGCACAACACAAGGATATGTAGAGTGTAAATGACACAAGTATATTTGTAGAATAGAATAAAAAGAACTATGAGTTACAGTGTATTACGCAGTATACCTTCTCGCGCGTCGCCTTTGTCGTCTCGCTCGCGACGCAACTCAACTCGAACTCTACACAGGCACGCTCGTTATTCTCTTCTCGTGGTTCTGACTCCAGAACGCTCTGCTCTGTTTTCTAAGGACTAATCGCTCGATCGGCTAATAAACAAACAACGCGTGCGGCATTGCAAGAGCTCGACCGTCGGCGAGAAGCGATAAAACTAAAACGCAGGGCGCCAGAATTATGAAGCCGTTTACAGATATATATATATATGAATAGGTTTTTTAACCGAAACTAAAGGCGACGACACACAAATTTTCTAACAAGATATATATAAGGCCTTACGAGCCATTCGCAGGATGTTCGAGCAGAAACTGTACGTGTATATATATACATACACATGTAACGAATTCAACTTGCAAATTTTTACAAGTGAGTGTTTTTTTGAGTTGAAAACTCAATTCATAAAATCATACGGGATGCTGGATTTGCATCTCACATATGACAGATCTCGGATACCCTCCTAACTAATTTTAAGATATTGCGAAACAAACTCCTTGGCCAGGAGTCGAACCTGCCATCGCCTTCCTTGTTAGGCCACCGAGGCACTTGGAGTTAGTCTCGCAATATTCATACATATATCGAAGATGGTCTGATAATGTTGTTAACGCTGAATCTTCAGTTAGCGTAATTTTTAAACAATTATGACTTAAGGCTCGTTGAAATTAATAACAAGATATATATAAGGCCTTACGAGCCATTCGCAGGATGTTTGAGCAGAAACTGTACGTGTATATATATACATACACATGTTTTTTTCGCAATATTTTAAAATTAGTTAGGGGAGTATCCGAGGTCTGTCATATGTGAGATGCAAATCCAGCATCCCGTATGATTTTATGAATTGAGTTTTCAACTCAAAAAAACACTCACTTGTAAAAATTTACAAGTTGAATTCGTTACATGTGTATGTATATATACACGTACAGTTTCTGCTCAAACATCCTGCGAATAGCTCGTAAAGTCTTATATATATATCTTGTTATTAATTTCAACGTCTTGTTATTAATTTCATCCTTAAGTCATAATTGTTTACAAATTTTCTAACTACACTAATTTTGAGACGGGGTAAATCTCGACAATATAAGCGAAATCGCAATTTCTACTCTAATCGTTTTTCCTAAAAGCACAACGGGAATAAGAGGGCGACCATAATTTTTGGCCAAACGAGAACAGGTCGAATTACTTTCCGCACAATGCGAGCGGCTCGCCCGCTTTCTTGAAACGAACGAATGGAGCTGTTTTTATTAAACGTACGAGAGAGGGGACACGTAAGCGGCTTACGTCCTGCAATTAAAATGTTTCTTTAAATACCCACCGCCCCGACGTCTTTCGATTGTGAACGATTGAAGCGCGTACTTAAATCGTGGCTCGTTATACGCGACCTTTGCGCGGAATGATACATAAGTGCCGCGAAACGAATCGATTTGCGATAATATCAACGATTTCTCTTCCGGATCCTGCGTTTTTCTTCAAAGCAAACTCTCTTTCAAAAGTATAGCAAATGTAAATTCGTACAAATTTATGTTTTTAATTTAAATTTACGTTTTTAAAGAAAGTTAGTTTAAAAAAATACCTGCGAAATAAACAAAACTGCAAAAAAGTACAACAGACATTAAACATATATTTTGGTTTTGTTATATATATATTTTGAACTTATAATATACATTATAATATATTTTTTCTTTTCCAAAGATAATTCCAAGCAGAAGCGTTGTCGTGAAGCGTTTGCACAAGAAGAGAAATTCTTCGTTTCTCGTTTCCTTACAAATTCTTCCAGTTAGGGGTCGGTTGGCTCCGCAAAACGGAGCCGATTTCGACGAGACGCTCGGACGGGATATCACCGACGGTATCGCCGAGACGTGACGTACTTACGGGAGAAAAAATCGGCGCAACGAGAGGAATCTTCCGCTTGTACTTGCAGATTCCTCCCGGGAGGCGACCCGCGAGGCTACATTCGCGGAGCCAATTTGCCGGAACATTAGACGCAGACGGTGTTTTCCTGCGACAGGCATCCATTATTGACACTCACTTGCCATCATACACCAATGTCGATATTTTATAGAATCCGCGTCCTATTAAAATTCGCGGTATAGTTCCTATCCTAAATTGCCACAAACTTGAAAATATCCGCGCACCGTAGATTAAATCGTCTGTCGTTTTTCGATTTTTTAATAAATTATAGTTTTCTCTCAAATGTACACATGACCATAAAAGAAACAAAAAATATTTTTATATGTAAATTAATTTTTATATACATTAGATTTATGTAAAATATTATAAATTAATTTTTATATGTGTATATAACTATATGTAGAATATAGTTATAAATATTTAAAATATTCTAAATAATAAATGTCTCTCTCTTCGATTCAGAGATTTTATATCAATTGTAGGTCCATTGTGCCCGCGACAGTGGATGCCTTCGAGAGAGTCTCGCGTAAGAAGGACCATGTGTGGTCGAGATTCGAAATTCTGCTGACGACCGTCCAGGGACCACAGCACGGCTGTGTATCAGTTAAGGGTTTTTGCTCACTGGAGCGTCCTTACGTACCACGAAGAGCCGGGAGGGCTCCCCAAGGATTTTGCACGCGGGCGCGGAACACAAACGACAACCAAGATTACACCGTGTGCATATCCTACAATACAGATTCGTTTCTCCAGTAATTGAAAAAGATTTGTTTATCTCCGAGAAACACTCAGAAGTGTCGCTGCTCCGCATTAGTCTCGGCCGGTACGTCTTGATGCGACAACTTGTGTATTTTTACAGCTAAAAATTAAAATCCATACAAGCTAATATGCCGCGTATATGTACTATTTTTCCCCTTAAACGTGTAAATTAATACATGTAAATTTGAAATAAATTTTTAATTCAAAAATATACACAACATGAAATGCTGCTGAATTGCACATCTCATATACGTGAAATATCCAATTTACTCACTACTCTCTAAAATATTTATTACAAAAAAGTCATCTTGACCAGAAACCAAGTTTTTCTAATAACGCACTTATTGTGTATTTTTAATAACACTCACATTAAACTTGACAAGACACATATAACACATTATAAATTAGTTATACAATATTACAGATGATATACAGAGTTTTATTAAGATAAAAATGATTGCACCACACACGATTTTTTTAGCGTTCAAGACTTTTATTAGAACCTTTTGGATTACACTCGTGGTTTTTCACACACGCTGTCATCTACAATATGTTCACTGATGCAATTTATATTACTCTACTAATAGCGATACTTACAGCTATGGCCAGCTATGGCGTAAAGCGCGAGGGAATTCTTTTTTGTTCTTCTCTCTAATTTAATCTCGTCGTGTCCATCCGGTTTGTCACAATCGGTCTAAAATCGGCTGCGCAACGAAGTATAATTGCACCGTGCATATATCGTTCTCGAGAAATCTCTATCGATCCTAAGTTACTACCGGCATCGACGATATCGCGACGACATCCGCATTAGATTTTATTTAAAAATTGATATACGCGTTCGAAAACTGAAAATAGCTTCTTTCTCTTTCTCTCTCTCTTTCTCTCTCTCTTTCTCTCTCTCTCTCTCTCTCTCTCTCTCTCTCTCTCTCTCTNTCTCTCTCTCTCTCTCTCTCTCTCTCTCTCTCTCTCTCTCTTTCTCTTTCTCTTTCTCTCTCACCGCACGTATCGTCGGAACAAATAACCAGCACAAACTTCGGAATACAAACCTACGCATCTTCGTTTGTTTTATCAAATTATCTTCGCATCTGTCCAAACACAATTGCGTTCTCTATACGCGCGTTGTGTGCCGAATTTTTCGCGAAGTTTCATTAAAAGAAATTACGGCAATCAGCGTGAGACACGGAGGCTGGATCGACCCGCGGGAATTCGCGGATTCACAAAAGTGTTTCGTGACGTGACTTTCTCCTCCTCGCTTTGTCAGTTCAATAATATTGCCAGTGAATATTATTCTAACGCTGCTTTATATTATAATGCGTGTTTATAACGTGACGCTCTCGCGCAAGTTTCTTGCCGAGCTTTCTCGATTCCGCGATCGATTTGCTCGCGCCAGGCTTGCGTAAAAGAAGGCGAGGCGAGCGCGCCGTTAAAACGAGTTGTTGTTCTTCCGAGTGAAATTTTCTTTCACCCGACGAGACGAAAAGCTGTCTCACCTTCCGATGATAAAATTCATGCACGAAAAAAAAAAAAGTTTTGGACAACCAGAAGAAAACTCGTTGAGCCAATTGAGATTTTTGTGTCACACCAACAAAAAAACATTTTATTTAGCGAAATCAAACAATCCAGTAGGCCCAACAAGTTCTTTCTCCGTTGTTCAAGCGGTAACTAATTGTTTAGCAAACTTTCTTTTTCACGTGCTTGCTTCTGAACCGACATCACAAATACGCGACGACGACAGTAGTTCCTAACTAGTTTGCTGGATGATGAATTCGTAGATTGTGCGCGAATGTGGGCCCTATACAAAACTGCCCGATTTCAGCGATGCCGCAAAGTTTGAAGCGAGTTGGAAATCGAAGAATTCGGCGCGGCACTGTCTCAACGTATTTTTTCTTGCGAAATAGCGTGACGCAAACTTTATTTTTAAATCACAATTTACATTATTAAATTAAAATAATATAATATTATAAAATATATAAAATTAAAATTTTAAAACATATTTAAAATTTAAATTAATAATATAACAGTTTACTATTTTTACTTAATTAAAATTTTTAATAGTGTCATGCAATATATATATATATATATATATATTTTTTTTTTAGGATATCTCTGCTAAAGTGAGTGTGAGAAAACAAGTATAAGCCATTGTTGCGCCGAACTCTTAAATTTCAGGATAAAGAGATCGACGAGTGTGCTTTAAGGCAACGTGTCGCAAGCTTACGGAACGAGAGATTCGGGTTAAATGTGTCTTCCGTCTTCTCTTTCTTCTCTTCTTTTTTTCGAATTAATCCGACCAGCTAGGTAGCTTGATTAATTGGTCGACGCGGACGGACTGTGGACTTGGCCGTAAAACATACTGCGTGAAGGACGGCAAGCCGAGCAATCGGAACCCGCCCTTTCCGCCGCTGACTCGTTCCCTGCAATAATTATCAGCCGGTAATTAGCGGGAACCTCTCGTAGTGAACACCGACGGATGCGTTATGTAAAACTAATCGTCCGCGGTATCGGGTTTTCTTCTGGAAAGAATTGTGACAAGGTGAAGCTTCAGTAATGGAAGCTTTAATTAGTTCGATCGTAGAGTAGATATATTTGCACGGTCTGACGTAATGCGAACGATAAAATCATGTAAGCGCGAGAAATTTAAAAATAAAGAGAGAAAGACGTATAGAAATTATTGTTTTTTAGTTACATTTGCACATTTTAAAGAAGGTGAACAGCAAAATCGTAATCAGTCGTACAAACACGTATCGATGTGAATTCAAAGAGTATGTATTTCCGAAAATTTATAAAAAAAAGTATTCAGCCAAAATTGGCCTCTTTCGGCTAATTTGCGCGGACGGATTGTTAGGTCAAGCGAGATGAGGGCCGACTTGTTCTCGCACGGAAGGCTCAAAAGCTGCTTGTTGAAAAGATCGTGCGGTCGCGCAGAAAAGAAAAAGAAAAAGATCGAAGAAAGCGCGGGCCTCTTTTTCCCCGAAGGTCTGTACGTTAGTCAAAGAGCCTGCGTTCACCGCCAATAATCCTGTATTCGCATTCATCGCGCCGATACAGCACCTATCTCGTTATTTTCGGCTTACGCCCGCGTTGAATGCGGCCCACCGATACTATCGATATATACGTACGCGCGTGTACATACGTGAATGCGCAAGTGTGCGAGTGTGTGGATGCGCGTCTCCTCTGAAACGCAAGTGGTATTTGCAACCATGTTCTCTGTGCTTACATGTTGTATCGTTGCGCGTTTATCAAATATCATCGCGACAGGAGAATACTTACGTGGGAAGTACATAACGTCGTCTATATTTTAAGGAAAACACTTGAAATAAATTTTCGACAATTTTCAAATTACAAATTTCAAGATATATTAATTTCTTCGCGCGTAAAAATTTGAATAAAAAGTTAGTTAGCTCGCAGATCGTATTTCTCTCTCGATTTCTAAAGTTTATATAAAATTACTTATCTCTTTTCTGAATAAAATACAATTATTTTGTAATTATATATATTACTGTAATATATATATATATTACAAAAAATATAAAATTTAATAAATAATTTAAATTTGTATATAAAAACTTTATGTAATACATATATAGAAAATATAATTCTTATTTAATAATTCTTATTTGTACAATTGATAATTAACGCAAACATTCTATTCTGTGTATGATGTATACTACTCTTTGCGAGAGAGCGCTGTTTAACACAAAGAAAACTTACGCATGTATACTATATAAACACCGTGAAGCGTTCTATCGTCGGGTTTGCAACCGCTGAGCGTCGCGACGCCGACGGAAACTCGGCTGTGCTCGTGAGTGCCGCGCAAGCGTCGGCACAAATCACGCCCCTCGGCCGACCGAGAGGCCACCCGCGCCCCATTTCAGCGTTATTACAGCCTGGAAGATCCACCCCTCCCCGTCCCGCCGTCTGAATATCAAGGCAACCCTCCGCGTTCCCACTTAACACTCCGGTCGCGACTAATTACTCTAATTAATTGGAACTCCGATCTTCTCGCCGGCCCGCTTGATCCGCGCGGGGGTAGTTACTAATTAATTACTAATATCAAAATGGTGTGCCCAGCGCTTTGAAAGCGTAGAGCTCTCGCGGCCGCCGCAACCTCGACCAATTCTGCGGAAATAAACGTGTAAATGTAGCGTGAGGCCGCGAAAAGAACTCGCGCGAAACATAAATTTTTCGCGACATTGGGATGTAGAACATACGCATGCCGAGAAATAACATCGCGAAAAAGCACTTTTCGCGCGACGTTAAAGCTTTTCGATATCTGAGCGTCAAGTCCGATTTGACAGTAACGACGTTCGATCGTCACGAGAATTAATAAGCGTAGAACGCACAAGGTCTTTGCTCAATTTTTTGAATTTAGACTAAGACAGATATATGTGTTCACACTTTGGTAAGAAAAGGAAAACAAAATAAAGTTCGTGAAAAAGTGTAAGCTACACGAACCAGATCCACATTTGCATGTCAGAAGCGGCTCAAAATATGTGTGGTCTGAAAACGAAAGTTTCGTGTACTTTGCGTGGAAATAAAAATGTCTAGCGAGACAAATCCAAAGGGTGTTTGACGAAACGCGTCTGTAAAATATATACCGGAAATTTCGTTCGGAGTATGATTTGGTTTTAAGAAACGCGAGGCATGATTCGGCAGCTGTCAAAACTTGCAACAAACATTGTTTCGATTCCATTGTGTCATAGTCTGGATTTTGTTGTTAAACCAAAAAAAAAAAAACAGTTCTCGATATATTTTACAAGTGTGCTCTATTGATTCTCCACGTGTGTTTATATAGAGATACTTTTTTATTTTCACGCAAAGTGCGCGAAACTTTTCTTCGCGTACTTTCCTCGCTTTTGACGTCATCAACCCAAGATGGCCGCGAAAGGAAGCCTTAATTGAAAATGTTGTTTCTCTTCGGCGAAAATGGCAGAAATGTATACAGTAGAACCTCCCAAAACGTATACTCCTAAAACGTATATACCTCCCAAAACGCATACAAATCTACTCTCAAAACGTATATTTTCTCCTTCATCGCTTTTCCCACCACTACGTATGGGTACAATCGAAACTGCGCTAGCGCTTGCGCATTAGGCTATGCACATGTAACATACATGGTCGTAATATAACCTCTATTATAATATGCGCATGCGTTAGTTAAAGAGTGAGGGAATAGGGGCAGTATACGTTTTGGGAGGTTCGTCGGTCCCAACTGTATACGTTTTGGGAGGTTCTACTGTATATATTCCCGTTTGCGCGACTCAAAATACGTTTTTAATTCATTATGATAATTTATTATGCGTTTATATTAGAAAGTAAAACAATTTCTGTATCAAACCAAACATCAAACTATATCTGTCGCAGAGCGATAACAGTTATCGCTCTCATATATTGCGATAAAACAATGTCTAAAATGGTGTAAAATCAAATAAAACTTAATTAATTTAATTAAATTAATTAATTAAAATTAAAATTATATAAGTACGCGCGGAGGATTTTTACAAAGTTTATAAAATTTAAATTGATATATTTATTTATTTAATATTTATTATTAATATTTATTTTATTTTATTTCAGTCTGTCGGTTGTCTTCGAAGCGGGAGGATGTTTCGCGTCTTTTTGCGTACGACTGACGGTTACTTAGTTGCCACTTCCCCTTCTCTTTTTTCCCCAAACTGAAGATTCTGAAGAAGATCCCATAGTGGATCGAAACGTTCGTATCTTTATTAAATCCTCGGAATAAGAAAGAATTTTATCTAAACATCAGGTGTAGCTCGTTATGGCCTTCTCCCTATCGTTTTATTTAAACACACAACAAGTACGAAACATATAATTTATAAAATTTGTTAGAAATTTTAATTAACCTACAAAAACTGAAATCGTTTAAAACAAAAAATTTTTGCAACAGTTACAATAGTTTTTTTTTTAGAAAATTATTGTAATTTCGTTATGTTGTTTATATATATTAAATTAGATAATAATTTTCGCATATAAGTAGCTAATTGTATATCGATTATGATTCCCTTATCTCAGAGGTTTCTTTCTATAATTCGTTTTCTCTCTATATTTCTACATTTCGTTCGGAGACACTAATTTGCACGATAAATCTCTCGCTCACCTTTCAGAACATTGAGATGTCGGTAGTAAGCATTACCATGCCAGGTCTCGGGACTTCTCGCTGGCGGCAATTCCGGTTTCACGTCGCGCAGAGATGCAGCTTCCTCAGCGATCTTTTCAGCTTCTCGTTCCTACATACACAATAATAACATAAACGTTTACTTTTTACGTTAAAAGAAAGACAGTGTGTGTGTATAAAATTGAAAATTGAATTAGCTCCGAGATACTTTAATATATTTTTTTTATCTTCATGTTTCTCATCATTCATCAAAGTATCATCTTACCGCGTATTTTTGCCACGTAATTATTGCTAAGATATGCGGTAACAATTCGCAAATTCTTTCTTCTGTTTCTTTATTTTGCCGGAGGACACAATGTCCCGAGCGTCACGAACGATGACGTTTCAACAAACGCGCGCGAGTCTTCGTCGGCGCCAATGAATATATATTTTTCATTCGGCATTAAGAGGAGTTCGTGTCAACGTTTGGTCAGTCATAAGTGAGTCTGCAATAATATCGTCGAAGGAAGCGACCGTTTGGAAAATAGGAATCGTCATTTTTGTGGAGACAGGTGGCGGTGGGCGGACACGGGCAGCGTAGGGCGGAAAGGTCGGCAAACAGCCCCGCGATATGTCGCGGCTCCTTGACGTAATGACAGCCGTGGAAATGGATGACGACCCACTCATCCTGATCAACCCACTCACGTATGCAACGATGGCTTGCTCGGGCAACGATCTACAGGTACAATCTAAACGCGCGACTCGTCCGAACCGGGACAGCAAAGCGCACGGTGCTTTATTTAATGCTTCCGTCGATAACAATCGTCGAATTACTTAAATTAATTCCGCCACTGCCAACCATCGCGCGCCGTCGTCGTCGCGCGCGCGAGCGAAACGGAAGTGGATCGATCGAGGTTGAATTATTCACTCGGCCAGGGACGAAACGAGCAGTCATTCCGCGTCCGCCTGCTTGGCCGATTAAAAAGTCACGGGAACGCGCGTTTAATGTCCGAAGAAAAAGAGGGTGGGAGTAGATTACACCTGTACTCGACAAGTTTCACAAAGGGTATCGCGCGATATTTTGAGTTACGATGAATGTCTGACGCTTCTCGAAATTTCTGACGCGATGACTTACCGTCGGAAAAGCTCGAAGATTTTTTTTCTAGAAATTTAAGATTATCAAAAAAGCTAGAAAATCATTTTAAATTTGATTTGTTGAAGCATGTATTATTGCTACACAAAAAAAACATGTTTCTAATTATTTGTGATTGCATATTTTTCTAACCACCGTATCTACGTTATGTCGCGCGATGTTAACGCGGGATTCGCGCTTTTAAAGGGCGCGTTCGCAACGATTCGCTGTGGGTGGCTTGTCGGAGGGGACGTTATTTAAAAATCAGCATATGTCGCGGCTTACCGATTTCGTGCGTGTCACGGCGTACGTGGCGGCGGATAGACGCGGAATAGAAGGAAACGCGGGGAAACTTGCAACTCTCTCTCTCTCTCTCTCTCTCTCTCTCTCTCTCTCTCTCTCTCTCTCTCGCTAAAGAAGCGACACGCGAGGAATACATTTTTAACGAGCAGCACGATCGTGCTTTCCCGCGTATAACTCGCGGCTTCTCGTTAGTCTAAACGCGTTTACGCGAAATACGAGGCAACCGCGTTACATCGCGAGCGAAAGCGCCGAGTGTGAACTTCATATAAGTTATACACGCTTTATACGAGAGAAAGCCACTCCTGAGAAAATAGGACGACTTGTAATCGCTTTATGTGCTTCAAATACAAAGTACGGAAGAGTTAATTGCATGAGTACGAAAATAAGTTATATGAAGTTCTCAAGAACGAAGTCGCTTAAATGAGTCGCGCCTGTAACCACGTGGCTGGAAGGAAGAATCCAATATTCATAACGATGATGAAGAGAAACGAATTTTTCAAAATTTTATTCTCGAATAAAATTCTATAAATAACAATTTTTCAAATAATTCTCACGAGAGACGGTAAAGCGTTGCGCTCGGAAATAACTTGAAGACTCGATTGTTAATTAAAAAGGCAAGACGCGGTGAAGAACGAACAAATCAAACTCGAATTAATTATCGGCATCGCGCAGTCCAATTATCGAGTGCAAGTTTTTTTCAAGAATAATTAACCGAGACAACAAAATTCCCGTGGATTTTTTCGCCGTAACGCGAGCCCCACGCATTTGCACAGCTACGCTAATGCGCTGTAACGAACATTATTAACTGCGGCTCGCAACGCGATTCTCTCTTCTTTTCTTCTCGCTCGCAAAGAGTAAATGTAATCATCGTAGCTCTCGTCGCTCGCGGTTACGTGACGTTGTAATCGTCACGGTAGCATAAAAATTTCATGTCGCACACACGCGGACGTTACGCCACAATCGACTTTAACTGCCGCTTCGAGGCGGTTCCCTATCGCGATTCGTGCATCTCTGACGATTATCTGCATGTACACACACGTGTGTGCGATACTCGGTGTGTTCTCGATTAAGGCATATTCACACGTCGAAATAATCCCTCACACAGGAGTTTGTAATTTGTTAATTTCCATAGTTTTGGTTTTTGACGAGAAATTGGGAAATTTTTTTTCAATATATGACGAGCTCAAATTTCTCTCGCGCATATTTTTGGAAAAATATGTAAAATGCGCTCTTGGATAAATTTCAATTTTCTTGAAGATTAAACTGGCTGAGAGAGGTATACATTTTCATTTGTAAAAAGATGAAACAAATCAATTTATAATAAACCTCCCCTCCTTCCATATTGTATATGCGCATAAATTGCTAAATAATAGCAGCAATTTGTGTAATAATTTTATATCGCGTATAATAATAATATGTGAATGGTCCTTCAGGTGCGCAACAGCGAGGTAGTTCCGACATTACAGAAGAGATACGGTCGTATCGGCCGCGTGCGTGTTATACTTGTAAATATAATGACTACGTCGAAAGAAGCTCTTCAATACATTGTAACGCGATAAGCTTTGATTTAAAATTTCACCGAATTAATAGTCTCCGAAAACGGGGATTTATTTTATTTTACAAGCAACGTGCACGCGCAGAAAACTATCATTATTGTATTTGATCGAATTTTTTAATACTCTGGTAATTCGCGTTCCACCGTTTAAGCAAAGATTAATCATTAGTTGATGCTTTTTAATGGACGGTCTATCGAGAGATGCGGATAAAATTTTCATGCTGTTTGGGATTTCGGATAATTATGTTTTGTGTACGAAGAGAGAGAGAGAAAGAGAGAGAGAGAAAGAGAGAGAGAGAGAGAGAGAGAGAGAGAGAAAGAGAGAGAGAGAGAGAGAGAGAGAGAGAGAGAGAAAGGCTCGCAAAAGGGGAACAGAACGGGGGGGTCTGAAAGGGGTCGGTGCTGTCCATTGTGAAGTAATTCGACGAGGTAAAAACGTTACGGAGGGTGACTTTTGTTCGACAGGCGCGATCCCGAAAAATACACTCGCCTCTATTACGTTTCAGCTTTTCGACGGACTGTCTTTCTCTCCAAAAAGAAATCCGTTATCGATTCTTGTGATTTTGTAGCCTGATTGTTTCTTTCTAATTGTTTTCTTTGTATTGAAAAAATTACGAATAAAATAAATTAAGTGAAAAAATTATTTTCGATTATTGACGTATTCTTTAAAATTATTTTTAGATATTTTTGTTACGAGTATTTTAGAATTATTATTCAATGATATCTTTTGTGAAAAAAAAAAACTGTTCTCATTGTTAATCGCGTTATTAAATCGGAACAAATCGTTATCTCGCGTTACGATTACGCTGCGAGAATGTTTGTTACGAAGCAGGTGGTCCGCGCGCAATGTGTACAAGCTACAAAGTCGATACGCCCGCGTTACGTACATATATCCTTGGGGATATCGTCGGCACATATGTTCGCCGTAATAACCGTGCAACCTCTGTGTACGCGGGCACGGGATTCGTTGCCGTGCCCGGTAGCGAATCTGCTCTCTCTCGTGAAAGATCAATTCGCCACGCGATCAAATGCGATCTTAACCCCGTATGCTCGAGAACGGATTAAAAGCGGTGAAACGCGAGAAGCCGCCGCCGCACGTCATGGAAGAGGCTCGCTCGTCGGAAGATTTACAAGCTCCTCCTCCCCTTTCCCTTTGTCTCTTTCGTGATTGTAACATAAAAAATTAAGCGAGACAGGAGAACGCCATTTCAGAGAGAGCGCGCATTAATGTTTGAAGTGGAGTTTTTATCGATGTGAGTTAATTTTAAAAAGCTCTCGGAGAAAATTACAAAAATTTTTATTTTTATATAAATATATATATATATGTTAAAGTAATTCTCAATTGTTATTAACTATGAAGAACAGAAAAAGTGTTTTTGGAAATAAAAACACTTACGTTAAATATGACAGAAAGCGCTGTAGTTGTGAGTGAAACAGGTGTAACTGTGTGTTCGTCGTGGAGCTCCTCTGGGGATATTCCCGGGGGTATCTTTCCGAGGGACGGATTATCGGAGATAAAGGAGCGACCGGCGGAGAATTATGAAGAGGGAGCGGGACAAAAAGATCGCTGCGAATCGTAAAAGGTGCCGAGCAAATTCGAGGCATGTAAGCTCTCGTTACGTTATCCACCTCGTTATTACATCTCGCCGGGAATATGACGTGTACGAATGTTATATTACGCCACGCGTGAATTCCAGACGGTGTATGTGTAACAAGAACATTGAATCAACGCGGCAGATTGTGGGGTGCAAAATCCACGAAACGTCAAGATACACATATGTCAGGTAGAATAGTGCGGAATTTATCGCGCGTTTTCTGCGAAATATTCGCGGATCGTTCGTTTGAATTCTCGCACAAACTTCGAGATAAGTTACAGCGTTACAGAAGAGACTTTTACAAATAAAAAGTGAGAAAAAAAGAATAGAAAAAAAAAGATTTGAAGGTACAAAATAAGCACATGAGAGAAAAATGTAAAAAAGGCATAGAGGAGAAACAGAGAGAGAAATATACAATAAAACAATCTCTATGTATATCCTATACGTGCGAAAGTTAAGATGAAAGAAGGAAGAGAAGACACAATCGAAGAGGAGCACCGAAGAGGGTTTCCCGCTTGCGGATGAGTTCCGTGTTCTCCCATTTGTAA